AAAATCATCTGGCCTCTCTCTGAAGGAAAATGTAATCCATCCCCACTGGGAGACAGTTGAAAATATGGTTTATCTGGATGCCAACTGGATCCTCATCAGAAAGAAGCTTTTTGTGCAGTATTCGCATGCAGAATTGTACAGAAAAGGGTGTGTGTGGGGGGGTGGGGGGGTGGGGGGGTGTCTGAAAACAGGAAGATTTTCTGTGGTGTTGAATTGTTTGGCTGGTTGCACTGATTCCAGATGGTGCTCCAGGCACTCAGCATCTCTGAAAACGGGCCAATTTTCATTCTCCCAGTTCTTATAACAGTAAGAGAAAAACTGTTCTCTTGAGAAAAGAAAACAGGGAAAAAGTAGTAATGATATTTCTACTTCTCCTGTTGGCAAATTATAACCAAAATTAGCTAACATGCTGCAACAATTCCAGCTCTCCAGCTGGAGAGGGTGAGGAGCAGCGAGCTTCTCTGGATGTCTCACATAGCATAAAGCACTGCTCCCTGAAACAACCTTACCTCAAACTCAGTTCAGATCACCTGGGGCCCCTAAGTTTTAATTTCAGATCTTCAATTTTTTTTTTTCCCCTCTATTTCCTCATACCAGTGAAGAGAGATAAATCTGTTTAAGTAGGGTTGTTTTTGCCAATGTTTTCTAAGGGTTTTTCATCTTTACCCAACAACATTTCTGATCTTTGGGGATGTTCCTTCTGTAGGTTCATTTTTGCCCAGGGACCTGGCAACAGATTCTGAGCAGTATATTACATCACGTCCTGCTTTGCAGTCAAATCCATATTCCTACACGGGAGAACCTCTACATCCCATCACTTAATCATTCAGTCTTTAAGACTCCTTTTCTTCAGATACGATGTAGTTCAGCTGGCATCACGCCTCTGATTAGATCACCACAAAGAGACGGAGAAATAGCACAGTAAATTACATGCATGAGCACAAGCTACAAACCTCCATCCTTACTGTCCCCTGCTGACTAAACCAGTTCTGAAAAGGAACAGTCACGAGCAGTGGCTTTGATGGAAGCCCTGTGTAAAACTTGTGTCGTTTTGGTTTGTTTTGAGCCAAAAATTCCGGACTTTGAGCTTTATTTTTGCTTATGTTTACTTGCTCAAATCCCTCTCTCCACAAATTTCTGAAGTATATCTGAAAAAAGTCTGTATTAAAAAAAGCTTATGAATTAATTACCAGTATGAATCGATGAGTACTTGCATCACAAAACCTACATCTTTTACTACAGCAAAGCTACTCGTTTTTTTTTTTTTTCTGACTTATTAAAATTAATAACTTCTTAACTAGGAGTTTCCTTCATTAGTGAGAATTTAACTTTTCATTCTAAATAAGCGATTCAGAAGCAAAGCAGGGCTACGCGATTTCTTCATGCCGATGTTTGTGGCAATTCTACAGGTGTAACCAGGTATTCTGGTAAGGATTCATCCACAACACTTTTCCTCAAATGTCAAAACATTGATACAACCTCAATCTGATCCAGGCGTATATAGTTTTTCAAGATGAAAGGGCAAAAGATGTGTCTTTGGAAGTATCATGCAAGTTAGAGAATACTGGACATCACCACCACAAGGCAGATATTAATGTAAAATGGAGTGGCTGTTCTACATTGAAATTCACCTCCTGTTTTCGTAAAAATAAAAAAAAAATTAAAAAATATTCAGAGTAGGAGTGGAAAAAAATATATTTTTCTTTCTTCCTCCCTGTCAACTTTGCTGCAGTGAAAAATTTCCACATACCTTTGCTTATAGTGCTCCTGGCTAACAGCCACAGCTTGATTTATAAAATAACTGACAGGACCAACAGGCACGTTTGCCTCTTTCCACGGGATCTAAACAGTAGAGGGTTTAAATAGCAGATACTCCATTAAAATGGGTTCGTATCATACCTGTTCAGACCTTACAAGCCTTGGCTTAAAAGCCAAATGCATTTGTTTCTCCATGACTCACCGTGAGGAAAGGGGGTGCAGGCAGTGTGCATCGTAGCACCGAGTAACCAGAAAAGCAGCTTCAGACTCCTTAGCAAAATTCATATTGAATGAGGGATGGTCCTGCTGCAGATGGACACGTCTTTTCAAGCCCATCTAAACTTTGCATATTGCTTTGCATTCTCCTGGCATCCTCTATAAAGGGTTTCAGTACCCGAGGGATCGATGTCCCCAGCAGCCCCCCGGGTGGAAGCGCATACCGCAAGGACAGGTTGAACCATGTTATGAAATCACTGCAGCTCTTGCACCAGACAATGCGAATCGAGAACCAAAGAAACGTCCCTGTGGTGTGCACAGGAGACATAGATCTCCTTTCCCCAGGGCTGAGCTGGGCGATTGGCTCGCACGTTGCTCAGAGCCTGGCCAGGTGAGGACAGTGCAGGGGAGCAAAACCCCTGCACTGGGGTCTGGGGGAGCACTGGATGTCCTTTTTCTTTTCTTGCTCCTCTGTGGATGGTAAAGCAGCCAATACAAAGACAACATTACAAGCTCAGTCCTGGCTTACCTGCCCTTGTTTAGCTAATATATGTTGCTTGAGCCCTAGCACTTCTAACTGCTGTGCCCAGCAGGCAGCAATTCATAAGGCCCATCACTGATCCTACCCCACCCTGCTATCTCTGAACTACAATTTCCAGTCTCGTTCTCTGAAAAAGGTTCCCAGATGTTCTCAGGCTCTCACTTTAACAAAGTTTCATGAAGGATTATCCACGCACGTTGAACCTGCTGAGACTGAAGGCGCTTTTCTCTCCAGAACCCAACTGTGCATCGGTTAGCTCAATAGCTCTAGTGACTTACTCCCAAGCACAACCTCTTTTTTTTTTTTTTTTTTGTTAACAAGTAATACCACATGCTCCTCAAGTGAGTGAGAAATGCTTATTTGATTTAGGACACTCTCAAATTATAAGCAGCCCACAGTTCTTTTAAGTGTATGTTGCATCTTTTTCTCAATGAAGATTAATGTTGTTCTTGCCGCAGGGTTATGAAAGAAGGAAACATTTGTGCAACAGTAATTTTTAACACTTTCCCCAGATTGATTTATGTGTTTATTCGTTTTCAACTTTTTGGGCACCCATAAATGAGGTCTTTAGTCTTCAGAGGGAATATTGACATCCAGTAATTTATGATTAGCTAAAAGGGAGTGTGTTGAGGGAAGATTATTTGTCTTTTGACCGTAACTCAATGGGCTAGATTGAATAAATGAGTTTGCATAAACTAAGCTGAGCATAAAGATTTGAAGTCAATATGTAAAGCCAGAAAAAAAAAAAAAAAAAATCAAAAAGGCAAACAGCAGGTTAAAACCAAAGATTAAACCTGCCTGTGTGCTACAGGTACATAGGAGAAATCACGCTCAGAGAAAGTCAGAGTTACTGAAATAAAGTATTGATTTTCTGCTGAAAGAATGGTAACTGTAAAAGGACAAATAATTTTTAAATTAAGATAGTGGTCATATTATTGCTCTGTGGATATAGAAAGCAGCTCATCTGTCTATATCTATCTACAGCATTTGACTCGGTGCTCACAAGCAATGAGTTTTAATCGAAACTAGATTGTTATTATTGGAGTATGATTAAGTGTCTGGACTCTTCTTTTATAGATTTGAACTTCAAATCGAAGGCAAGTTCATCTGACACACACACACAAGATACATTCGTGAAGTAGCACTTTACCTTCCTTCCTGGCCATTCCCCTCTACACACTGCCCGGAGTGACATCCCGTCCTGCTGAGTCACCTCACCTGGGGTTTGGTGTCATCTCTGGCTTGTTCCTCTCTCGAGCCTCACATCCTGTATCTTAAAACTCGTTTTTGTACCGGCATCTCAGAGTAACCATCTCTGAGGGATCCTGAGAACAAGCAGGCAGGTGTTACCACCTCACACCTTTAATATCCACAACCTCCTCTCCACTGCTCCAAACAGTACTGCGGAGAGAAACTCCCGCTCCTTCCTTCAGAGCTTCCCTCAGACCCTGTGAGCTGCCTCCTCTTTCAAGTGCCACAACAGCCTCTCCCCAGTTTTTCTCACCACCTGTCTCCATCACCAAAATGCTGATCTGCCTTCCCTTTGGCCCTTGTGCCAGCATTTGTCACTTCGGGAGCACCCAAATCCCTCCCACGTGTCCCCATCAAAAACAGAAGCAGCAGCTGTCTGCAAAGTGACCACACTGTCCTGCTGGTGCTCACAGCGCTGGGTCCCCAGCCGTTACCTGTCTCACCATGTGTTCCCTGAGCCAAATACTGTCTTTTCTTCACACCCAGACAGTAAGTCCCTTAGAACAGTTGCTGTCATTTTGGTCCATGCTCACAGAGACGTTATCACGGTAGATACAGTCCATGGGAAAGTCCTGATGCCCCTATGCCAATCAGTAAAAGTAAGGTTTTGAGCAATCTTCGAGCTGATGAGTGGTGCTGTTGAGCAGGAGTTCTGCACTCTAGGCCATAAGAAATTTCAGAGAGTTAGCAAAATCGAGTGGGGAAATGAATTTGTCATGCAGCGAGTTTCAAGGGTGTGGTTGAAATTATTTTGTGAGTGTAAAAAATAACATCCCAAATCAGACTGAAAAAAATCCAGATTATTAATAGTTTTTAAGTCCTGATATATCAGTTCAGATCAATCAAATAATTTTGCCTAAGCAGCTGAAACATTTCCCTTCAATTCTGGCCATTTTTGTAAAAAAAAAAAAGATTTAAAAAAATCCAAAAACTAATGAAAGAGGCAGACTCCTAGGCAGTATCAATTCAGACCTGGTTGATCTTTCACTATGGATTAAAAATGGGGGGTTTGCTTGTTTAAGGAGAAATAAGGATGCGATGACTTTGAGCTCAAACATTGCTCTTTGTATCATAAATCTTCTTCTAGGGAATGTTTGACAAATAAATCCATCTTGCCTATGACTGAATCCAGTTGCCTCAGGCTGTCACTGGAGCGATTCCCAACTGCTTAACAAATCTGTAACGCCCACATCCTGCATGATGAGCAATTGTGAATTTTTACCTTTTTTTCTAGAACACACCGGTGAGAACTGCTTCCAGGTCTGGGTGGATGTGAACCTGAGTGGAGCCTGAACACCGTTAAAGCCACACTGATTAACAAAACTTTAAAAATATGACTACAGTCAGGATTTTAACACCACAATGCTGCTATGCCGGGATGTGACAGGCTTCCTACCCAGGTCTGGAAGGTAGGGATCTGCTTGCATATATGAAATCGCATACTTTCCCTTCCCTCCCCTCCCTGCACATCTATTGTTTTGGGAAAAGAGTACAGAAGAAAAAAAAATGTTTTGCAGTATATCCTATGGGTTGAGATGAGTAGAAACATGATTAACCAGCATAGGAACTGGTATGGCTTAGACCAGCTCTCTGTGATATATGTGGTACAATATTACCTTATATTTAAAGTGACAGTGCCAGGATTGTCAGGTCTGGAAAAAGAACATGTCTTTTAAAGTATCTTGCACAGGCAAGAATGATGGCAAAATTCAGTCCCACTGATGAGCACAAGCATTATGTAGAGTCTGTAACAGAGCCGATACACTAAAGAGAATGCCAACGTACCTCTGTCTGCTTGTGACATAAGGTCATAAAAAATGAATATATCCTCTCTGCTGTGGCCATCCCTCATGAAAAGAGCACTGGGAAACACAAAACAAACAGCAGAGCAAAGACCAAATGCTCAGGATGGATTTTTTATTGAGGGACCAAAGTCTTTTATCCCCAAGCCACGGTCCCCAGCACGTGACCGCCAGGCTGCAGGGTGTCCTGACTGCAAGAACCGTCAGACAAGAACAAGCTGGGGGGACCAGGGCATCAAAACTGGATGATGCTGACCCCTCTGAAGAGATAGAGCTGCTGCCTGGTCCTGGCCTTCTGCAATCCACACGGAGCCAAGTGCACAGAGTCACTTTTGGTACCGAATTACACTGCCCACCACAAGCCAGCACAGCTCCCTCTCAGGGTGGTGAGTCTGCCTGCAGCATCCCTCTGTTCTCAGGGGAGTTAGAGGGGGAGAGACGGTACTGAAACACCTGAGGGTTCACAGAAGGGCATACACTCAGAACTGCTAAACTGCCTAATAGTTTGAACCAGCGATGACCTTTCATCTGTTGGCTTTGTTTAAACCAGATTATGTTTTCAACAAATCTGAAGAAATTTTTTTAATACAATTCTACAGCTCGGTGCTGACAAGCTGGAAAAAAAATTCTCTACAGTTCAGCTGTTCAGAGAAAAATAATCATTCAAGTAGGAAACTTTGTAATTGTTTCTGCTATTTTTTTTTTTCCCCACACACACATATATCCTGTCTACATCAGCTGTGCTGGTAAATAACAGCAAAGCACCCAGCCAGTCTGTAGCCAGAGCAAAAGTGTTTCAATAGCACTGATGGATTTCACAACCCAGACTGGGATCTGTAAAAGCATCCTGCTAAAACACACGGCACATGCCCCCAGGGCAGGTAGAGCCTCCTCCAGCATGGACCAACTCTGCTTCAACCTGTCAGTGCCCCTCCGAGGCTGCCTGCACTGCTGGGCACCAAGGAAATGAAAGGAGCGGTTGAGGCACCAGCCGAAAAAATGGAAAATAAGCGGAACAAGTTGTTCAGCCATTCCAGAGATGGAAGACCACAAGTAGCTGGCAGACAGCGGGGAGCAGCACGTAGCTGCTGTACCCTCCCTCACTGATGTATGTGAGCACATCAGTGCCACGCAGCAGCGCCAGCTCTGTGCCAGGAGACACGAGGCAGAGGGGATATTCCCATGGGAACAAGCTTGCTCCCTCCCCGTGCACTGATGTGTCCGCAGGCAGATCTCTATCTGCAGTGGTGCTAAAGGGGTTTGGGGAAATAATAGTCAAACAGCACGCCCGCGGTAAAATGAGGGAGATGGACTTTCTCATGGGGAACCAGTGAAATATTGGGGACCACCTCTCAGAGGTCCTCAGATGCCTGATCTAGAACAGAGGTACGTTCCAACAGTAATAAACTAATCTGGAGACACCTGCCTCAGACACAACCCTACTGCACCCCCTAGATCTGTTCAGCGCCAACAACTGTCTCTACACGCTGGCTGAAACGCAGCTGCAACACCCAACGGCGCAGAGCACCAAGGGCCTCCTGACACCTCCTCCACCACGCGACTTGGATGGGCACGAGCGTTATGCTGTTGTGGCTCTGACAAGCTGGACCTGCAGAGGAGGTTTCTCCCTCTGACAACGCCGGTGCGTGGGCAGATTCAGGTGAGCAGTCAAGCTGTGAGCAAAGAGAGCACTTGGGAAAGCCAGGCCCTTCTGGCCAGCCCCAAGAAATATGTTCTGTATCAGTAATGACTTAATGCGAGATCACATTTCTGTGCTACGACTGCCATCAAGTTTATGGGGAGAGCAGGAGGAGGGAAGGCATGTGATTTATACAACCTCAAGAATACAGCTTTTTGGAAAAAAAAAATATTTATATTCCCACTAAAACCGGTGACTTTCTGGCAAAAGAGATTAACCTAAAGCTGAAACCGTTAGATTCAAGCTGTCATTGTAATTTCCTGTGTGAACTGCAGCTCAGATGGATGCTCTCTGGGTAGAGCTTTCTGCCTGGCATATCCCTTCCATAACACGCTTTTCCCTTCCAGCAGGGGAGGGAGCTGCCTGACCGCTCAGGTGTTTTGTCCAGCCTCAGTCCTGGGGGCAGAGGCAAGCAGAAGGATGAGGCACCTGAACCACAACTCCCATGAGACTGTGTGATGCCATTCTAAGGAGAAAAATCTCCAAAGAATGGATCACTACTTGAAACCTCGGATTATTTTTCTGAGCAAACGACTCATCTTTTAGAAGAAAGCACATTTTACTGAAAAAGCGTTTTTTTTTTCTTCCAAGATCAGTGCTGATAGAAATTACCAGGTAGTTCTGATATTCTGTAGGAGGTAACTTAGTGCGAAATAATACCACACGGTACAATAGCCAGAATGTCAGGAGGGAAAAATCAAATCCATCCTTGTTAGACCTTCACAAGAGTACTTCAGGACGGACTGAGCTACTTTAGTAGTTTTGATAACTTTTTTTTCTTGTGCTCCACAAAAAAAAAAAACAAAGTATCCACACTTAATACTCAGCCTTGCAAAGTCTTGACTCTTATCCACCGAATTAAGTCATAAACTGTAATGCAAGATCTCTTGGCTGGTGAATTGGAGTGGTATAGCGTATCCTGGGAATAACAGACTCTGATCAGTCCAGGTGAGCATTACTAGTATGATCCCACTCTTCAGTGATTCATTCAGGAGCCCAAACTCGCTGGTCCATGCTAAGGAGGTGACTGGTAAATACATGCGCTATCTGCTTGGTGTCATTCATTTTGCATCATCAGCTTCTCTTTCATCTCCCTGCTGCAGGACTGGCTGTCGCAGTAATTTCTGTACTTTAAGGAAATTAAAAAAATCTGCTGTCCTTGTGCTTAAAACAGACTAGAGGACCCAGATGATTTATACTTGCCATGTAGGATATAGGAGGTGGTGAAAACAACTTGAAAAGGAGTAAATTATGAAACAGAGAAGGAACTGTGAGCTTTAAAAATAAAAGGTCCTCTGTTCACCCTGAGAAAAATTTGCAGGGCACAAGAGTTCAGGAGTCCCTGGGACACCCACTCGCAGCTGGCACAGCATGAGGCTGCAAGAACATGATGGTCCAGCCAGACGTGAACTGCTTCTGAAAGAGCCCTGCCAGCACCATCAGCTCACTGGAAACGTAACCCCGCAAACTTGGCTGTGTAGATAAAAGCTGTATCTGGGATTTCCTCACTGCATTAATGTAGTTAGAGAGACCAACCAGGCTGTCTGATACCCAAATTTCACCCAATTCTCCCTATGGCCCAATATCTTCTCTTTCCCATCTCTCTTCTCCACATGAAGCAGGTATCAGTTCTCAGATTATTGCATTTGATGTGAAAGACTTTTTTTTTGTTGAGGGTGGTTTTTTGTTGGTTTGTGGGGTGTTTTTTTGATTGTGGGTGGTTTTTTTTGTTTGTTTGTTTGTTTTTGTTTTTTTAAAGAGGCATTCCATATTCCTGCTCTTTTACAGTAGTAACCCTCAACACTTCTACCTCCCACCTTGGCCAAAGGTGGAATAAGGAAAGGTTTCTCCCATCCCTGGGCAGTGACTCAATTCCATGAGTCAGGTCAGTTCCTCTCCGTCAGCTTTATCATACAAAGCAATTTGTGTTAGCAGCTAATGAACTATCCGGAGGAAAACTTGCAGAGACAGAAGGGCATCAATCTCTGCTGAGGCCATTTTGATTATGGATTCATATGAGGAGGACCTTCAGCTATGCAGACATCTGCATCGAATAAGATAATCCTTGTACTAATCACATAATCACCTGTACCTCTTTGGGTGATAAAACATCCACTTAAAAATTATATTGCTCCTAAAAATATTCTATTGCCTGGAGAGCCTATAAGTACCAGAGATTAAATATTATGGAAAAGAAGCATGCATAATTTTCACTTTGCTTTGTGCCAGTGAGAGACAGGGAATGTTTGGACAGAGAGGAAAATTGGGATAGAAACAGTCTGCTCTGCCATTTGTCTGCTCTTTCACACTAGCAGAGGAGGGGAAATATTTTTACAATTGGGAAATGCTGAGACAAGAACAGTGTCTGTACCTTTTAAGAAATGATATTTCAAGTGGATAGAGTTCATTCCCCACTGCTTCTCTTTTCTGTGTTAACATCTCTTTTTATTGTCTAATATTTTATGCAGGAAGCGTTCATGGGCTAGATTAAGGTGGAGATGAGGTTTCTTCTATTCACAGCTCTCAGTTACCAGAGCTATGACATTTCCAGTAGGTTTATTTCCCTACAAGAATATATCACAGACATTTTCCAGTTCTACCCCTGAGTTTCCTCATACTAAGGCGCAGCAATCCCTCGTGTCTGACACCGTGTTTGTTTTGCAGGTGGTTGATGATGTTAGGAGTAAATATAAACCCCGAGGAAGAGCGGCATGAGCAATGGAGGGACCAACCCCAGAGCCTGTGTACGTTGACGTGGACAAGGGACTGACGTTAGCGTGTTTCGTCTTTCTCTGCCTTTTCTTGATCGTGATGATTATTCGCTGTGCAAAAGTCATCATGGACCCTTACAGTGCCATCCCTACGTCTACATGGGAGGAGCAACATCTAGATGACTGAAAGAACTTCACTAGACAGAGCCATAAAATGCTGTGACCCAGGAGGCCTTTTCCCACCGGGAAAGCTAACACACAAACAGCCATTTTCAGATATGCAGGGCAACGGCAATATCTCTAAGAGCACATAGCATAAATTATTCTTGCTCAACAGATCAGGATTATCAGCAAGCCATTCCAGCAGCACAGTTTAATACTATGCAGCGACCCTTATTTTAAAGAAAACACTTATCACTGCAACTCAAGTAGCACAAGACTCTCCAGACTTTTCCTAATATAACTCTTGGTCTAGCACAGTTTGTCCTCCCCTCAGTATCTCCCACAAACCCAGGGTAACCATCAGAATTTGGAAAAGCGGCAAGAACATTTTGTCTTTCCTGAAAATAGATCGCTTCAAATATTTTCCTCGGTCCCTATATTTGTGTTTTGAAAAAAGTCCAGATTTTATAATTTTGTATCCCAGAGCACCACTAAGTAGAAGCGCTAAAGCACCCCTGGTTGAGTTGTATGAGCAGATTTATTCTCGACTTGCTTGGTTCTGCACGCACAATCCCTCTCCCACTGCAGCCACATTTCCAGTGGTCAGGATACGGAAGCACCCAGACTACAGTTCTCAAGGAGGTCACGCACTGCTGTTGACCCTGTAGCATCGCCTCGCTCTATCCTACTCATGGAAATTTAGTATTTACCTTCTGAAGAGCGGGGGATTGAGGGGTTCCCATGTCCTCTATTCCCCAGATTCTAAGGTTTCCTCACAGATGCCTTTTTTTATTGACAATATGTTTGATTTATGGGATTGTAAGGAGTTGCTGAAGCAATATAGAGTAGGTACTGCAACCACAACAAGCATCATGAGCAGACAAGACTTGAAAGCACAAATCTGCAAGAAGGGCGTTGCAGTATTTCTCCTTTTCCTTACCATCCTACCTAGGTTCTTGCTGTAAAATGATGCACAACAGGTGAGAAAGGTTGAACCAAAAGTTGCGGTAAGAAATTAGGTCATGTACTATTCTCAGCTCTGACAGATTTGTTTGTGGATCACACAAGTCACTTCTTTATGTGCCTCAGTCTACTCATCAGTGAAATGGGTGCAACAATATTAACTTGTGTCATATTTTGTCTGCCTCATAATACCAGAAAGCACTTGGAGAGCCTTAGATAGGGACACTTAAATAAGGTATTGATTTACAACTCCTCCTTGTGAAACTAATAGGGAAGATCTGAATCTTAGTATAGAGCAAGGGAAGTTCTCCCCAGGCAGAGGACTTCTCCACACCTCCATTTACTCTCTCATTAAGACTGCAATATTTTGAGTCATGCCAAATGGCACCTGGATTCGTTACATATTTCAGTGATTTCTGAGGACAGTCTGGATGCAAGGTGCTCAGCACTGTGAGTACAGAGATCCCAAAATTGCAGGTTTGAGGCATGTGAAGGTTTCTGCACAGATCTTCTGCACTGCACAATTTTACTAATCACTGTGGTACAAGATCCCATTCAGGAGGAAGGAGATTTGAGGATTGGCTTTAATCCTGCTTATTCTCTAGCAAGAAACCTCCACTGCTTCAATTACCCACTACTGATTGCTCATCAGGCTGTTATTTAGCCTCTGTTTCTGGTAGCCAGTTAATCACCAGTGAGAACTTTTTCAGATGTGAATGTTAATGTTCACCATACCTTGAGCAAACACACTGATCTCTCTTATCCGTGAGTGTGTCTATGCGTAACCATAGGAAAGGATGCCCTAGCTCAAAGAAGATGACATCTGTTCCCTGGGCTAAAGTTTAGAGCCCATTTTTTGTCATTAAGTCTTGTATCCCACCTTGATACTAGCGGACCTACTTACGGAATAAGCAAAATAACAAAATAAATCTATTTCCAGGCTAGAGGCACTTTCTGTTTGCGGGTGGCCTGGCTGATGCAGAGCAAGAACGGAGCTTGTCATCACACCTCCCAGTGCCAATACTCCACTCCGTGTTTATCTGCATGCAGAACAATTTGGCTTTGTCATGTGTCACCGATAAGACCCTGTTCAGCTAAGGACTTACACACGTGCTTAAGTTTAAGCCTCTGAGCAGGCTGCCTGACTACACAGAGACCAGGGTCAGTCCTGTGCTGTGTCCTCGGCAGGGCAGGGACAGCAGCACACGGTCCTTGCAAGAGCAAAGGCGTGTAAGTACCAAGGGTTACAAATGCTGGAGAAACAAATTAACGAGTTTGCTGTGGAACAATGTTTGCCACTTCTTTTTTTCTCTGTCCAGCTGTACAAACCATTTCATGGATTATCCTGAAAATCTTAACTGAAAGACCCGGTAGGTCCATGGGTAGCACTCTTTTCTAATAAAAAGGCATTTGTCTTCCTGGCATAGCCTTTCATGTCCATCATTCTGCTGACAAAAAAGGTCTCCATAAACATCTACACATTCATGTCCAATCTTTTCACGTGACTGTGTAAAAGTCGGCGTGATGGTTTTTATATAGATAAATGTAAATGCATTCTATTTTCTGCCTTCCCTCACTGGATACAATCACACCACCTCAGCACTCTAACCAAAAGCAATACTAAACATCATGCTGAAAACAGTAATTTTATCCTCCTTGCATTCAGCGTCGGGACTTGCCCACCCGAGGCGCATCATTGCGGCTCCTGCCTGATGCCAACCCCGCCAGCCCTGTCAGCAAAGCGGCGCCCACAGCCAGCAGGTCTGTTTTAGCAGGGACTGCATCGCTGGGCTTGGTAGCTAATTTCAGCTGCATGCAACAAGTGCCTCTGCTAGTTTGGGTTCTTTTTTAATCATTATGCCATACTACCAGCAACTGCACTCAGAGGAAATAATACAAACTTGTTGCAAATGTATTTATCTAACACAATAAACAGCTTCAACATGGAAAACCTTCTTGTTGCCTCTGTTGTGGTTCACTTCTAGTTAGCAGGAGCTCTTAGAAAACACCCACAACACAACAACAACATGTTTTTTAAGAAAGATATCCATTCCTGACAGCCCTCCCTGGAGGGTGAGAACAGAGAATTGCTCCCTGTGTGGTGACACCACTACAGACTCTCAGGAGCTCAGGACAGGGCTGATGAAGCTCCAAGTGTTCCTGTGGCTCTGCTGGAAGGTCAGTCCCTCCAGAGTGGCTATTTCAGGTCACACCCTCAGCCAGGAAGAGCCCTGAGCTGAGCTGCTGTTTAGCGGGGGACTGCAGCATGCTGTATTTCAGCAACTCATTATCAGTAACAAACTGCATAGTAAAAGAAATAGGGCCACTGAGATTGGAATCCCTCCTGCTAGCAACTGAAAATGAAGTGTGGAGCATCTGTGGGGTCTCTTTGAAGAAGCCACAGAGTACGGGATATGCTGAATAAAAAGTACCCAGGGAACTCCTCTTCTTGAAAAAAGATGGAGACAAATTGCTAATGCTTTTACTCTTTTCAGAGTGGCTACTATGGCTAACAGACCTGAACTGAAGGCAGCAGTGGCTGAGTTTGGGCAGACACCCTGGAGAACTGTGGGCATAAAGACCCAGGGACTGATGCTGGTGAGCTGCACGAGCCATGCTGCTGCAGCCTCTGCTGTCCAAAGGTGTCCCCAGCCTGCTGGTCATTGCAGGTCTCGGCAGGTAACTTCAACCCACGTTACTAGAGCTCAGAAGTCAAGTCAACACAGGATTTAGATGGGGAAACCACTGTGCTCAGACTGCAGCCACCTCCACGGCACACACAGGGAGGATGGTGAGGGCAGCAGACCACAGGTGTTTAACTGGTTCACTTAAACCAGTGCTCCGCAAAACAGAGGGAGCATATGAGAGATGAAGGCAGCGACTTTTCAAGACAGCCCCAAAATAAAATTCCATGGAGCAAAACTGATGATGGCCCCCTGTGCTACCTGCAGTTCGCAGGCAGACCCCCACTAATAGCAATAGCTGAGCCTACAAAGCCTTGAGCTTCTCCACCCAAAGAGATCCAAGGACAGCAGTGACACCACGACCTGCATGTGGACCGGGCATTGCTGCTGGGGCAAAGAGTCATCCCAAAGGAGCAGCCACACCTGCAGTTTTGCATCTCTGAGGTCAGCATGGGAATGCATGGAGTGACACCCATGCACGGATCCCCTGCTTCAGCCCCAGCTCAGCCCTGGCCCATGGTGGTGCTGGACCTGCACCAGCCGCTGGCACAGCAACAGCTTCAGCTGAGCTGCCCATGGTGTGGGAATTCTGCTAAACACAGGCTGGAAAATCTGAAGTCACCTTCTCCCCTTCCTGACCCTCTGTCTCTGACCTTGTCAACCCAGATTTGCCAGGCTTCAAACCACTTGCCTCATGGTTTTTCATCTCAGGTGATTTAATTTAAATAAAGGATATTAAATCCCCAATTTTAACCACGTCTCAATGCTGCAATGGAAATCCTCCATTTCCCTCAACATTCTTTTGCCTTTGCACTTTTTTATTTTTTAAAAAACTGCTTTATTAAAACTGGCTTTGGCTGCTACTCCTTACTAACTGGGAGTGCTCACACATACATTTTTAAAGCAATACACAGTTTAAGATTCCTGGTTGCATTTATTCTCAGGGTTCAATTCAAGCCACAATGACATTAGGAAACATTGAATGATGCACTTCTCAGTTACAAAGCTCGATCTTTTATACTGGGACTTGGCCAGGCAGCTCCCAGAGGGAAATTGGAAATCAGAAATCAATCAAAAATGTATTAAAATTGCATTATGTGTGCTGAAGCCTTAAGGAAAGTAAAATTTTTCAAAACATATTTTATATTTAAGACTAATTGAAATTTTTTGAGCATCAGCCATATTGCCTCTGGAGAAGAAATGAAGTGCCTGCTAAGGGCAAGCGTGCAGCCAAGCTGGGCACCCCACCAGCCCCCAAGGCAAACCCCAGAGCCACCTCAGGACACGGCAGCTCCAGGGCAACCATCACTCTGCCAAGCACGTATGTCCTGGATCCAGCACACAGTGAGGAGGGGGACAAGAAACCCTCCTTGCGCTTGCAGCTCCCAACCGGTCCCTTAATAGTCATTGACAAAGGCGTTGATCCTACCAGCTGACCCAGCGGGTGCTCAGCTGCTACCAGGGACTTCTGCTCCTGCAGCATTCCCCTTCCACATTAACTACTGTGTCTACCCGAGCTCTGTTACAGCTCCCAGTTAGGTAACATGGAGCAAACAGCAAAAATTAGAGAGCACAGGACTATAATTAAAACTTCATGGAAAAAAATCAAACACACGTGCAACAGAGAAATCGTCAAGGTGAAGATGTTCTCGGGAATGAGAGGACACGGAAAGGGAGGAGCAGCTCACAGCGGATTTGTATGGGGCAGTACGGTGCCAGTACTTCAGCATGTCCCTCGTGCACTTCAAAAGCTTTCAATCAATTTTAAAATTCCAGAAGCGCTCCCTTTCTTTCTCACTAAGCAGCAACCGTGTGGGCATCCTGAACCGAAGCAGCAATCAAGCCTGAGAAGCGGCCTCGTGTCTTAACACTTAAAGCCCAAACCAGTGTGAATATCACCTACCAGCTCTGCCCCTCCTAACAAAGTCACCACCTTGACCCCAAATAGCTACTGCAAGAGCGTTTTACTTTGAGTTACTCCTGCCTGGTTAATGAAGGAATTCTGAATATTGCTGACCCCAATGTTTTCATCAATTTTTTTTTTTTTCCATGATATCACATCCATTTCTAATTAGAATCTCTATAGAAAACTATTTTTGGTGAAGAATGCCAGCATTTCACACAGAAAATCCAT